CCATCATTACTGCATAACCACATTTTCTCAATTTTAGTGGTTTGTTATTTTTAACATGTTCTTGCATCATTTTATCATTTCCTCCTTGTTATGATTCGTGGTAAATTTTGAGCTTGTGGGGTATTCATTTATGATAAAAATAAAAATTTAAATTATGCCGTTCTAAAGTTTGAGACAACATGACATTTAGACAACAACACAGGAGGAAGGCAGTTATGAATTATTTTTGAAGAACTGAAGGTGCTACATGTTACCATGTGCTACCAGGTTAATTAACTTCTTTTAAAAAATGAGACAACATGACATTTAGACAACATCATGGTTATTCAAATAATTAATTATTTTTGAAGAACTGAAGGTGCTACCATGTTACCATGTGCTACCAGGTTAATTAACTTCTTTTAAAAAATGAGACAACATGACATTTAGACAACATCATGGGTTATTCAATAATTAATTATTTTTGAAGAACTGAAGGTGCTACCATGTTACCATGTGCTACCAGGTTAATTAACTTCTTTTAAAAAATGAGACAACATGACATTTAGACAACATCATGGGTTATTCAATAATTAATTATTTTGAAGAACTGAAGGTGCTACCATGTTACCATGTGCTACCAGGTTAATTAACTTCTTTTAAAAAATGAGACAACATGACATTTAGACAACATCATGGGTTATTCAATAATTAATTATTTTTGAAGAACTGAAGGTGCTACCATGTTACCATGTGCTACCAGGTTAATTAACTTCTTTTAAAAAATGAGACAACATGACATTTAGACAACATCATGGGTTATTCAATAATTAATTATTTTTGAAGAACTGAAGGTGCTACCATGTTACCATGTGCTACCAGGTTAATTAACTTCTTTTAAAAAATGAGACAACATGACATTTAGACAACATCATGGTTATTCAATAATTAATTATTTTTGAAGAACTGAAGGTGCTACCATGTTACCATGTGCTACCAGGTTAATTAACTTCTTTTAAAAAATGAGACAACATGACATTTAGACAACAACACAGGAGGAAGGCAAAAATAAATTCCAATCATACTTTATAAAGCATCATTCACAGGTATTTCATCGTCAGTAAATGATTCCTCATTATCGTTTGGTTCAACCTGTTTATATAATCCTTTCATTTCTTCTTTCAAAACATAACACCATGTTTGTTTACCGTCTATTCTTCTTTGTTTCCTTTCACATTTATCCTTAATACTCATTTGGAAATTCTTGTCTTTCATGTCTGATGGTTTGCAGAATAGAGCATTTTCACACGTCATACCTGCACACAATTCATCATAATGTGTATTTATCCATACATCTAAAGGATTTGTTGATAATTCAATTAAATCTTGTTTGGCTTCAGTCATCGGTATGATTCGTACATTAAATGATGAAAGGTCATATTGCATAAAATATGTTAAAAGGTTATCATAAAATTCCTTAGTGCATGAATCCATTAAATTCTTGAAGTAATCAAATTGACCTTTGAATTTACCATTAACCCTTAAAACTACGTATCTTCTGTCTCCAACTTCAATTTTGACAGGGTAGACGTTGTTAGTTACGAAAACAAAGTTTGCAACATTCTGAGCAGTTCTTCTGGGTTGATTCTTTTCATTAATTCTAATCTCATTATCCGTTATAATTGATTTCAAAGCGTTGAAGTTTGCGAGTCTGTCTTCACCTACATTCTTGAGTTCATTAAGTACAAGAAACATTTTATTTCAACTACTGAGTTGAAATTACCCGTTAGCTCACTTATTTCAGTAATGTTTTTACATGAATAACCAGCGAGAAGTTCAGAAATAATATCTGTAAATCTGTTTTTACCTGTTCCCTGAAGTCCTTTCAAAATAATTGCTGTTTCATTCTTGATTCCAGGATGTTGAATCATTGATGCAATCCAGCCGAGAAGGTATTTATACACTTCATCGTTATTATCACATATGGCTTCTTTAATGAAATCCATAAACATCTCAATTTTTGAGTAATCTAGTTTTTCGAGAACGTTGTATTTATAACCCTGAAACGTTGAGAAAACATCTGGGGAATCAGATTTAAAGCAAACACCCTTAACGGTTAATGAAGACAATTGATTTAGTAGTACATCCCATGATGTTATTGTTTTACCTTCTTCTTTAAATAATTTAATCATTTTAAGTGACTCTTTCATGTTTGATTGAAGAACGAATGATATTTGATTCATTTTATCGTGAATATTATAGTCCTTTTGAATGAAATATTTATTTCCACAATCTACAAAACGAATTACACGTGATAAATCCTCAATTACTTCAGAACTGTTTTTATACTGATGATTTTCAGCCTTGCGTCTAATATCTGTTATCAAAAACGAGTCATCAAGTTTTGATATCAAATGTTATTTTTGGCTTACGTAATAAAGGTAAAACATATTCATCATAATATTCCTTTTGATAAAGTTTTAGAATCTTCACCAAAACAAATGGAGAAGTCATTAAATGTGCATATCTACTACGTGCTTTTTCAAAATTACTTTTTGCATTTTCAGTTAAGTTGCAGAAGTTATAAACGTTATCGTATGCTTCATTAATTAAATGATTAGGTAACGAATTAATTGCTTGAAACAGTGTGAATAATGTAACTTCTTTTTCTAAATTCATGTTTCCACCATCATTATGTACTTCAAAATCACAGATGCCATCAACTATGCTTTGAGCTAGTTTATCGTCAATGTTTACATCTTTGTTTTCATTCATGATAGTCTTTATTTCTTCATTCTTCTGTTCAACTCTTACCTTAATATTCAAATCATTTAATATATCATTCACTGTTCTAGTTAATGTTGAATCATAACTTCCACGAATGAATGAGTATGTATTGATTGGTTCTGATGCATTCTTTCGAACTCTTGAATCAGCCATAACCACTAATGAACGCTTTGAATCATCCATAGAAGTCATTATGTCAATATCATAATCATTGCAGGAATAACATTTAATCATTCTGTTCGAGGTTGAATAGAAGAAATTAGTGTTGCAATAAATGTGAAGACCTCCTGATGCAGTTTTAACGATAACATCTTTATCCGAAAGTTTGATAAAATGTCTTTTCTAACTGTTTCTTTAAGTTCATCATTGTATGATTTATTGATATCAACATCTATAATCGTTAAATTTGATATTTTATTTACTAATAAAGCCATACCAGTTTTCCTTCCTCTCCTCCATCGTGTTTGAGGTAGTTATGTAAATCAATCCTGTTTTCACCAATTCTTTCGTTGAGGGTTTTAGTTTCTGCCATAACTAATTCCTCAGCTAATGAATCAATAACTTTTTCATCAGAAACGATAAAGTTGCTGTTGCTGTTGTTTGTTGCTGTCATTTATATAGGAATAAAAAAATAAAAATAATTTTAAAACTAACTTTATTTTTGGACTGCATCATATTTTCGTAAATGTTGTCTAAATGTCATGTTGTCTCATTTTTTAAAAGAAGTTAATTAACCTGGTAGCACATGGTAACATGGTAGCACCTTCAGTTCTTCAAAAATAATTAATTATTGAATAACCCATGATGTTGTCTAAATGTCATGTTGTCTCATTTTTTAAAGAAGTTAATTAACCTGGTAGCACATGGTAACATGGTAGCACCTTCAGTTCTTCAAAAATAATTAATTATTGAATAACCCATGATGTTGTCTAAATGTCATGTTGTCTCATTTTTTAAAAGAAGTTAATTAACCTGGTAGCACATGGTAACATGGTAGCACCTTCAGTTCTTCAAAAATAATTAATTATTGAATAACCCATGATGTTGTCTAAATGTCATGTTGTCTCATTTTTTAAAAGAAGTTAATTAACCTGGTAGCACATGGTAACATGGTAGCACCTTCAGTTCTTCAAAAATAATTCATAACTGCCTTCCTCCTGTGTTGTTGTCTAAATGTCATGAGGTTAGAAATGAGGTTAGATCTAACCATCTACCCTAAAAATTATTTTTGGTGAATTCAATAAAAATAAATGGTTCATTTACTCACAATATTTTTGTACAAAACAACCCCAAGCTTTTAACTTCTTTTCTGCAGCTTCAAATGCTATCTTAGCGAGTTCATATTCTCTAAATTCTCTCTTTAAATCTTCTTGTTCCCATTGGTCTAGTTCGTATGGAGAATCTCTATAACCATAACATATCTCGCGTTCATGTTCTAATTGTTTTTCGCGCATTTTTCCAACTTCTTCTTCAAACAAATGTTCAGCATTCTCCACTGTATCTTCGAGTTCTTCTTCATCTAATTTCTCATGAACTTTCTTGTCTATGGAGTCCATAATTTTTCCAACTGCTATGCAATATTTTGGAGAAGCCCACATTGCTATATAGTTTATAAGTCTTGGGTCTACATACGTTCCTCTAACCTGTTTGATTTCATCAGGAATTCCCGCATGAATTTTGTATAAAAACCAACCGTCGGAATTCCGGCGGTTGCTATATTCTTCACAAAATGCCTTATAATACTCTTCCCAGGACTTATTTTCCAACAACTTTCTAAAGTCTTTCCTAAACTGCTGACACATCTTTGTTGCATTAATGTAACCATCCTTGTCTCTACGTAAGACTTCAATACCGTTATAAGTGCCTTTTGTGAATGTTTCGCCATTAGATTTGTTCGTGAATGTTTTTGCTTCGACTGACATTTCTGTTCTTACATACAAAATAAAAAAAATAAATAAAAATAATTTTAAAACTAACTTTATTTTTGGGTTGCATTATATTTCCCACTATGTTGTCTAAATGTCATGTTGTCACATTTTTTCAGAGAAGTTAAATAACCTGGTGACCTGGTGACCTGGTGACCTCATCAGTTATTCAAAAATAATTAATTATTGAATGACCTGAAAACATTAACGTAAACATTAACGAAACCATTAACGTAAACATTTATTTCTGCAGTTCATCCATTACTTCATTACCTAATTAATTACAAACATAAAATATATTTAGTTCATTCATTGAACTCTATACCATGCGTAAACTGTCATAAATGGTGGCATGTATTCTTTACTTTGTCCCGTTGTTTGTGTATATCCTGAAACGTGATGTGTATGGTTTCCTTCTCCCTGAGTGTCACTCCAGTAACAATTTATGGCAAACTTAACGTCATCTTTAACATCATATCCTTTACCTTTTGTCATTCCTGACCAATCCCAATATCTATGCTTATGCCAACCTGCTTGAGATGTGCTTAAATCTATGTAGTGACTGTGTGCAGGTAAATTTTCACCTGTAATCGTTTTACTTCCACCCATTTCCTTTGAAGAGTTTGCACAATACAAAAACCTGTCGACTATTTGTTCCCATGCACCAACACCAAGTACTACTTCTGGTCTGGTAGAGTTCATTGAAACATATAATGAGCCAACCGGGTAAATAAGATTCGGCAAAATTTGTTTAAGCACATTGAGTTCCTGTCTTAGATGCATAATACTATTGTCATTAGATATCAAAGTATCTACTAGACTTGTTGCCGGTGGTATTGTTGGACCTTTACTTGGCAAGGTTGTGTTTAGTGTAATATCATCTGCTGTAAAAGTTGTAAAACTTGTATGTGTATGAGTCTTATCTGCCTTCTCCTCTAACTCACCATCCACATATTCCTTATCTGCTTTCTTCTCTAACTCACTGTTGACATAAGTTTTATCCGCTTTAAGGTCTAAACATCCTGAAACCCATCCTGTATCAGCTTTAGTTTTTAAAATCTTTGATGTCCATTCATGATACCATCCAACCATTTCTTTAATTTCATTATCTTTTTCATTAACATATTCCTTATCTGCTTTCTTCATTAATGCACTAGCCACAAGTCCCTTATCTGCTTTCTCCTCTAACTCACTAACCACATATTCCTTATCTGCTTTCTTCATTAACTCACTATCCACATATTCCTTATCTGCTTTCTTCTCTAACTCACTGTTGACATATTCCTTATTTGCCTTCTTCATTAACTCACTGTTGACATATTCCTTATCTGCCTTCTTCATTATGTCATTTAGGAAACCTTTTATGAATTCCTCATTTAAATTAAATCTTCCAATCTTCAAAACTTTAGGAAATGCATTTAATGCGTAATATCTTTGTTCTTCTGGTGGAATTGATGTTATATCATCCGTTATTCCTTTAATTTTAGAATTCATAAATAAAATTTCTTTTATATTTGATATCACTGCACCACCCTTGCAAACGAATTCGAAATGGTCATTTTTCAATACTATCTCCAAATCTCCATATTTCAACCTTTGCGTTTGTTCTGCCGTCTTTGAATTATATGCATATAAGGCGTATGTAATGGTCTGTGCCTTAAGTTGTCGTGGTTGTTGTTGTTTAATCATTTATTATGATTTAAAAATAAATATTTAATCCGTTATCTCATCACCTATTTTTTCTATTTGAAATTGCCATAATATTTCATTCATGAATTCTAAATCACAATCAAATAGGTCAGTTACTCTAAATTTAATATTTGATAAATCTTTTGAATGAAGAATAAATGAATTCCCGGATAATTGAAACGGATATGATAAAGAAAATATGTTTAAGTTGATGGATAAAATGTTTTGTATTGATGGGTAAGAGTTAGGGTCTAATGTTTGATGTGAAAATCTCATTGGGGTATTAACTTTATCACATTTGATTAAAATGAAATTGGAACCAGTGTCAGAATACAAAACATCCCCAACATCTTTTTCAAAATTTAATATCCCCAACAATGAACGAAGATGAGGAGTACAAAATTTAATTTTCAGCGGAAATTTAATAAGGTTATTTATTTCATCAAGTTCAAAAAGTTTATCGGGTTTTGATTTAAAATTTTCTTCATACCATATGATAAATGATTCGTTTAAATAACTTAAAATCGTGTTAATATCCCATTTTCGTGATCACATTATTTATATGCATATCATACGTTTTTTCTTGGTCATCTTTAATAAATGATATATAATCTGAGGTCTAAAAGAATGGGATTAAATTTACCACTCACAGAAACGAGAGTAACATTATAAATTCCGCTAACTGTTAAATTTAATTCACAGCTATTATTCGAAATAATATTGATAATTGACATTTTTATTACGATTAAAAATATGGTAAAGCGTTATTTTCCAGTGATAAATAAAACTAGAATAAGATTACCTCAAGAATTCATAAATTCAACGAATAAGAAATTCATTCATGTTATAAATTTTAGTGTTTTCAGAAAATATGAGTCAATGTCATATTCATCATCAGGTTATATTTCACTTCATTCAAATTTAGTTCAATCAAACCCATATAATGACCATTTCATAAGATTTTCAGATGGTATTAAAAATGCAATTGATAGATTAAAATATGAACAGATTGACAATATCGAATTTTTGGAATTTTGGTTTAAATATCCCGATGGAAAAAAGATTGAAGTTAAAGATAAAGCTGATACTATAACAAAAACAATTACAATGACCGATCCAGATAGTGGGGAACAAAAAGAAATAAAACAAACGATAGAAACTGGTGAAAGGTCAATTATTATTGATTATGATTCAAAGGATTATTATTCGTTAATGTTAATGCTTGAATATTAAATAGCCTTAACAAAGAATTTTTCAAGTGATATTTTATATTCATCAACTATTTTATTATAAATATCATTATATGTTAAATGAAGTTCAGTTGTTGTTCCGTTCTTTGATATCTTAATTGTGCTAATATCCTTTATAGGATTTATTTTTGCAACTGTTCCGCAGCATGAAACATCATCATCTATGAAAAATTGAATCTTAACGTCTGAATCTTGAACATCACAAAGAATGGCGATAATGTGAATTAATGATTCATAAGGTAAAATAATTAAACCGGATTGGTCAATTAAATTTATTATTGAATCATAATTATCGGTTATTATATCACGGTAAATTTTCATTAATTCAGAATTAATGTCTATTTTATATGGCGCATTGCGACTGGAATCATAGATTCCTGGGTTCTCGATGTTTGATGAAAGAGGTGGGGGGTATGTTGGATATGTGGGAATTTCAACAGGTTCTTTACCGGGTTCAGATAAAATGATTGGGTCTCCATCTTCTTTATTTTCCTCCTCCTTTTTCGGTAAGTCACGAGTTAATAAATTTGGTTGAGTTGCTGACCTTGTTAATTCAGGGCTAACATTAACTTTAACATTTTGAATAATTCGTGATTTATCGTCATTTACGTTATAACCAACCGTAATCTCTGCTTTTGCGTTAGTGTTCTTTTGACTAGTGAAACGTCTTCTCATTTATAATTGAATAAAAAAATATATTTAAACTTTTATTTTGCTGGAACTTTTAAATCTATTATTCCCTGTATTTGTTCATGAAGTTGATTTTTAGCATTTTCATCGAAATTAATAGACCTAATATATTCATTAATTGCATTCTTATAATCAACTGATTTCTCAAATTTTCTTTTATCTGATTCCTTAACTAAATCATAAGTTAAACCTCGTTGCTGATATAATGGTTTCTTAATTAAATCTTTGAATGCTTGAGATAAAGCACCTGATGCAATTCTTGCTACTATAATTGGTTGGAATTGCTGTTTAAGTTCATCTTTAACATTTGCGAAAACTGGATCGAATAAAGCAACTTTAAAGAATTTCTTAGCTGAAATTTCAGGTCTAATATTTGCATATTGACCATCAAACTGGTTAGAATATCGTGGTAATCCATCCGGTCCCTCTTCAATAGCATTTAATTCTTCATTGAAATAAGAATATGGATTATGACGGTATGAATTAATTGGACCATGTTCACCTTCTCCAATGTATTGTTTAACGGCTTTTCCATTTTCATCAAATTGCATAGGATAACGTTCATTATATGCTTTACGTTTAGGATAATCAGATACAGTTAATTTATACCCATTTATGACTTTAATATTTCCTTGACCATCAGTAACGAAAACTTCATTTATACCATCAGGTTTTCCATTTGGTCCTGTAATGTCTGCTTCGTGTGCTTCCCAATTTGGACCATGACGTTTGGCATATGCTTGAGCTTCTGGTAATGTTAAAACGTTTCTCATTTGTTTTACATCCTTTTGAAGACCAGCAACAATATGAACTAATTCTTTCATTCCGTCTGGAACTTTCATAGTTCTATTATATGCACCCCTTTTGTTTGTCCCTTGTTTTAATGGAACCTGTAGAAGATTTGCTATTTCTGTCATGTTTAATTATAAATAAAAAATAAAAATTAATTATAAAAAGTTAATCAAATTTAACACATCCTTTATTTAAATCAACTATTATTTTTCCATGTTCTCCTAATTGTTGATATTGTGTGTAAAGTTCATTAATGCTCATTGGTAAATTCACTTGATAAAGCATAACGTTCAACTGTTGACGACTAAACCCACTGAAAATGAAAAGGGTGGACAGGTTTGATTTAATGTTTGTGCTTAATGCTTTGAAGTATTGAACAGCCATGAAGAATGAACACTGAATGTGTCGACATTGAGTTAATAATTGATTAAAATATGATTTCTCATTTGTTATTAGTTTTGATTTCACAGCATCATCTAGAAAAATGAGTGAATGCAAAAATTCTCTATCAAAATTTGAAATAGAAAGTGTTTCAAATAATTCATCCCGTTGTTTATCAATAATTTTATCCTCTAATCCTTGCTTCTTGATTGTATTATATAATTCTTTATACATTAAAAAGTTTTTTAAATAATCTTCTGCTTCTTCTTGTGATAAATAAATAATTGGAATTTTGATTAAATGCTTTAAAGATTCAAATGTATCATCTGAAGGTGAACCTGAACGGTTGATATAAATTAACACGTGTGAATAGGGGGAAGTGTTAGCAATAATGATAATTTGTTTTTATATCGTTAATGTTTTACCTTTATTTGTTTACCAATTGCTGCAGTGATTGAATTTAAGTAACATTCAGAATATGGAATTTTCATTAATTTTTCCTTAGATAGAGCATTTCTATTATCACTCAATGCTTCATTAATCATATCATCTATGTAGGTATTATATACTCCTGCTAATTCTTCAGAATTTAAATCCATTTAATCAAAATAAATTTATAATTTTAAACATTTCTATTCATCAATATTTCATCATATGAACTTCTATACTGTGGTGGTGTACCTGTTGGATGATATTTCAAACCTTCATCCGGTGTCCACGTCCAATATGTAGTCCTAGTAAACCAAACCTGAGGAGGATTTGTCACCTTTGAACAGTAAGTGTCATTTACACCCTGAATGATTGGATAAGCTTTCACTTGTACTGTAACTTGTGAGTTGAAAGTTTCTAATCCATCAAAGAATATACCCGCTCCATCACGTTGAACTGGAATAGTGCATAAGAATGAAGTTTGGTCTTTCCATGTTCTAACTAATGGTGTGCCATTATCATCATTCAGTGGTCTAGTTAATGAGTCCTCGTATTCTTCCGTGCATTCATTCACTCCATCTAAATCAGAAGCTTGAAGCATACGTGTAAAGAATATGTCACCCACTGTGGTCATCGCTTGATCGGGAAGTTTCTGAATCTATAGTGACCTGAAGACCTCGAAGCATTGGATTTTCTAAAACTGTTCTTTGCATTGCATTCTTCGGAAATGTTAACACAACATCTGTAACATTATGAAGGGCGTATGAGAAATCTGAGCTGATACCTTCAGGAGTGATGCAACCTCCATTTAGTGAACGAACGTCAATATGTTGAGCTGGAATCATGAATGGATCTTCCTTACTGAATAAACGTGGTATTGCTTTAATTGATTCTTCAATTAAACCATATCCTGGTGTAATGCATTTATCCTCTAAAACTTCCATCTTTGTGCATGAAATAATAACGTCATCAACTGTTGCCTCAGCAGATGTAGCGGCTAAGCTTGTAATTAATTTGGCAGGAAGTCCGATTTGTTGGAATTTGCGATCATATTTATAAACATGATTCATAATCTTTTCATAATTTTCATCAGTTATCTTTTCATAAACGTAATTTTGTAAATCAGCAACTCTTAACGGGTCAACCTGACAAAATACTAAAGTATCCCTGAAAACATAATATTTAAGAATGATTTCACCAAATGATTTAGGATAATCATCGAACGCCTGAAATGCTAACAAATCATTTACCGGAATAATCATATCAAAAGTGATATCAATTTCTTCATTTGCTTTCTTGAAAACTTCTGAAGGGTCAATATATTTACCACATACTGAGTTATCATATTTTTGAACATTATTATATAACGAATGAACAAACTTTTTAACTTTCCTTTCTGATTTCGGTTTATATGTTGCAAATGCGAAAGATTCACGGGCGCAATCCATCTGAAGATAACCGGCATCACCTCTTTCAGTTTCTACTTCTAATTGTTTAAAGCTTTGATTTGATGATTTGTAACCAACGAATAAACGCATGCATTTAAAAGCGGCATCACATGTGAAAGCTTTATTTGAAACTAGAGTTGCTCTAACTTTGCGTTTAATATATGTGTCACCTAATTGGTTCACATCATGAGCCGGATTTGTAATTCTTAAATGAGTTTGTTTATCATCAAAATATGGAGTATCAGAGTCATAGCATGAACTTTCAAGTTCTCTATAATATCTTCTACCGTCATTCTTTGCGAATATTTCATTTATTTTCGAATGAATGAAACACATTTCCATTAATCGGTTTAGTGTTTGGCACTAAATAGTTAGTCGTCATTTATTATTAAATAAAAAATCAAAATTAAAATATGAAAATGAATTTTTAATTTTAATGAAATAATCAACTATGGCTGCAGGATTCTTTAAAAAATTATGGGATAAAGTAAAAAGAGGAGCGCATAAAGTTTGGGAAACAATGAAGAAAGGAGCAAATTGGATATTTAAGAATAAAGAAGCAATTAGTGACATTGCTGAATCAATAACGCCAAAAGCTGCCCCAATAAGAGAAATTTTAAATAAAGGAGAAAAAGTTTATCAAAGACTACAACCAATACTAAGATAAAAATAATATTTATTTATTTTTCCACTATTTACCTCCTATTTTATTAAGTATTCCTTCAGCAATTCCACCAATTGCGTTACCTGCTTGTGCTCCCATCGCCGGATTACCTGCTTTAGTACCTAATACTCCACCTATGATAGTTCCTGCCGTTTTCGCTACTGGTGCCAAAAAGTTTGCAACAGGTTTAATAACCTTTTTATAAACCCAACCTGCAGCTTTCTTAATTCCATCCCATAATTTTTTAAAGAATCCCGCCGCCATTTCTGATTTAATATTAATTAAAAAATATATTTCATCACTTATATGAGAGAGGGTCAAAGTTGCTATTTGTCACTTTTCCACAAGAATCTAATGGGGAAAAGTTATCATATAGTTGATCTCATTCACTGAGGTGAGAGATGCATGTAGTGTAATGGGATAAACAGTGTGATTGCTGCTCTACGTCCTAGGTTCGAGATACATTGGCTTAATTTTTTCTCTTTTTTATTGACGTAAACTATTCAATTTTTGTGTTCTCCATTCAAATTTCAGAATTTTTTTGCAGATTTCACGCTACATTCGAAGTTACCTTTTGTAACAACCACCACTGCCTACGAAAGACGAAAGTGTGTCACGATTTCACCCGGAAATCCGACGGTTGTTTAAGAGTATGCACTTTTGTCACCTACTCATCACTTATATTCTAATTTTTATTTAATGATAAATGAAACCGATTTTAAAAATAAATGAAACAGAGGAGGAAAAAATAAATGAAAGTGAAAATGTTCAACAAAAAATAAACGTTGTTAAACCAATTACTGAAATAAAAATTTTTTCATCTGTTGAAGAATTTAATGACTATTATGATAACAATAAAAAATTATTTGAAGAATTGACAACATGTAAATTGAATAAAATGTTTAAAATTGATGGATTCAAAATTTCAAAAATAAAAGGAGTGGTTAGTTTGAAATCTATTCCTCAATCAAGAATCACCTCATTAATGAAAATAGATGATTTAACAAAAAGAATGGAAATTATTGAAGAGCGAATGAATCAAATAATTGATTTCATAAATTCAAATAATCATTAATTTTCAATTTCTTTTTCTCGTTTATGAGGTCTTTGATTATGACTCCATTGATTCCATGAAATTAAATATTCTTTATCATTATATTTATACCTCATTAGCTTATTTTGGCTTTCATATTCATTTAATAATTCACAATCTTCATTTTTAAATTGAAGTTTAACCCATTCAGGATTTAAACAATGTTTAATTAATCGCGGAATATCTGACATCATCTATATATAGCTTCTTTTATAAAAGATAAAAAAATAAATTATTTTAAAATTAATGTTAATTTTTTAAAATGTGTTTAGTATATAATATTTATTACTAATTTATTTAATAATGTCGCGCTTTCTTACGAATTCATGACTTAAAAAAACGTAAGAAAAAATTTTTATATCATCTATATATAGAAGATGTGAAAATATACCCTCATCTATATATAGACGTAACAAAAAAAGTCACACAACCCTTCCACATATACTACTAAAACGTAAGAATAAAAACCGTAAGAATCATACATTTTTTACTTCATATGTTAAAAAAAATGATACAAAATCGTTCAATATTGTATGAATTCTTACGTTTACAAAAAAAGTCACACAACCCGTCCACATATACTACTCAAATTGTCTCAGTTTGATTGAATTAATAATCATATGAATGAAGGCACCAATCGTAAGCGATCATGAAGAACCCATCAAATTAGCTTATTCATGAGAGAATTCGGCATAAAATATTAAAATTTTATTGTTTTACGTTATTTCAATCACACATTTTCTACACACTCTAAATATCAATCGCGAAACTTTTCTGGATCTTGAAAAGTGACAAGATTTTGAGAATTATAAACGATAAAATTTAGCATTGAATTTTTATTATTTTTTTTTTCTAAGGCGAAAAATTTTTTATGATTGGGATGATTGCAACTGCTAGAAGGAAACCAACAGGTGCTTTACCCAAGAAAAAGAATTTAATACGGACACACAGATCAAGATCTCCAAGTAAAAAAAGAAAATACCTTGGATACAGATTAATTGGATCTGGTACTTTTGGTTCTGTTTATAAAGCGCGAACTATTGCCGGTAAAGTTGTTGCTATTAAAAGTGTTAAACAAGATCCGCAATATAAAAACAGAGAATTAGAAATATTAAAAATTCTTCATTCAAGATATTGCATAAAATTAAAAGATCATTACTTTACACGGAAGAATAACGGAAAAGATGTATACTTAAATATAGTTATGGACTATTTTCCATATACTGTACACTCATATACAATGAAATTACGAGATCAACAGAAACGAATTGGAAATACACTGCTAAAAATCCTTGCGTATCAAATTTTCGCTGGTTTAAGATACCTCCATGCTAAAGGAATCGTTCACCGCGATATAAAACCAGAGAATATTATGTTCAGTCCTGTTACAGGGAAACTCAAAATCACTGATTTTGGATCAGCAAAAGTTATTAAACCAGGCGATACTAGTGTTTCTTACATTGCTTCTCGATTTTATCGAGCTCCAGAATTAATTTTAGGATGCGAACAATATACAGGCGCAATCGACGTTTGGGCAGCAGGGTGCGTCATAGCAGAGATGCTCAGAATGGGTGAAGTCCTTTTTGAAGGAATGACAGGAACTGGTCAAATTATTCCAATAATACAGCTCTTAGGAAAGCCTACACAATCAGACTTGAGCTCATTCCAACACACAGCACCAGTTCCGACATCATTGACCAAACCGATTATCAAATTAGAAGATCAATTACCGAAAACAACCAATTCAAAGCTGATTGCTCTTCTAAAACAGATATTTGTTTATAATCCAACAAAGAGAATAACAGCTGCTCAATGTCTTCAACATCCATACTTTGAAGACTTATTTAAAGAAGGCAAGATGATACCCAATACAGATAGACCTGTAGCATCAATAATTAATCGCCAATTACCTTAAATTATGTTTATAAATATGTTTTTTATATATTGTTTATTTTTATCTAGTTTTTAAGGCCGTTAGCTCAAGATCTTATACTAGAAAAATACAAGTTATTTTATATTCTGATGTACAATTTAGATTTTTAATTAATTTCAAAAATATATACTTCATTCATATTCATCTTCCATTTCTTCTTCACCGTATTCATCGTATTCACTCTCTGAATCGTTGTTATCCTCGGCTGCTTCTGATTTAGCGTAATCTTTAATAAAGGATTTATATGTCCATTCTACCATTGGTTCATCACACTGATCTTGTGTAAGAAGGAAATCGTATAACAATGATAGTTTGTTCTTTTCGCGGCCTTGCCCTTCGTCATCATCGCTGTCTTCTGCAAAGTCTGGGAGTTGGCTAACTTGGGTAATAGGACCTGGAGCATCTGCATCTGGTTCTTTTTCTACTTTTTCTGGAGCATCGCCAACAGGAACTGTTTCGAGATCTAAATCATCAATATCTGAGGAGTCTGAGTCATTAGTAGGTGCTAGATTTTTCTTGGTGAGAGTCATTGTATTCCTAACTGCTTGTGGTCTTTGTCTTGTTGGGCGTGCTGGTTGTTGTGTTTGTTCCATCGAATCTTTTGCTGGAATAGGTGGGAGTTCGTCTAAATTATTGTCTTGCTGATTTTTGGTAATATTGGAAAGATTCAAGCGTAAGTTTGGAATACCTCCAGTACCTGACATATAATTTTTACTTTTATAAATTCAGCCCAAATTAATCGTTACAAAAAATAAAAAACGTTCATAGAGAATCTAGAAACTTGAGCAAATTTTGGAGGATAAAAGTTATCATGAACAGATCACTTACATGATATAAGACACAAAATATATCTATACAGCCTGAAAAAGCATAATATCTTTTCATATTTGTTTATTGCTATATAGTAATTGGAGACTTATTGATATTAATTAAACACGGTCGCATGTAATTCAAATAACAAACTCTTAATGGAATTAGCGAATGCAAATTTATATCAATCTAGAATAAGGTCATGTTTTGATAATCCTACTATTATATAATATTAGTTTTGTAGTTGATGTAAGAAATAGAATACATAATCCTTTAAATTGTTGTATTTGTTTCTAGAATTTCCACATATTGATAAAATTTGTTATCTTCTCTAATTTAGGATATCCGAAATAACCAAAATGGTATCATATAATGATACGACGACTATTCCGTTGTTATATCAATATTAAAATCATGAGGATTTATAAAAGTCATTTTAGTTAAGGACACGAATTACTCCAGTCATCCTTCAAGAGTTATTTTAAGATACCAGTAATTTTATAATTTCAACTTAATCGTTGAAAATATTCAGAATTAATAAAGTCAAAGAATACAACAAGCTCATATAGCAAAATCAAATATTTACATCGAAAACATTCAAATCAGACCTTAAAAACGATTAAATCGAGTTCCAGAATCTCATGAATTTATAAATTAACATTTAAAAATATTGTGATGTTTACATTCGATATTTTGAGAATCTTATCGCATTTCGGATTTACATATCGAAAATGACAATTATAAGTAGGAAATATTGACTGAAAATTTCAAACTAATAGGTTCCCAATGTCCAAAAAGAAGTTTGTGTATATTTGGAAATTCAAAATTTTTAAAAGCTTGAATATTGATCTAAATAGAGTTCGATTAAAATTACCTATGGAAGTGATGCTATTTTAGCTATGCCGGAAATCAATTATTTTTCGATATTTTTTTGGACAATAAAATGTCATACTTAAATTAATTTTAATCTTGAAAGCATCCGTAGTCATTTGGGAATTAATATACTACAAAGGTTATTGCAGATTTCATTCAGAAACAATCGAAAATTTACTTTCATTTTTTGAATGGAAAATGAACGCATATGAATATTAGAGTTGATTTAGAGAATCGCCAAATGCTGTAACAAATGGCTACCAAATAATGAATTGGTGAAATGATAGCTGCTATTATATGCCTGTAAAAAAGAACTTTTGAATTGTTAGAAATATCCATGCTGAAATGACAAAATATATGATCAGATTGCAATGATAGTGCTGTGGTATAATAATGGAGCTAAAAGGATGTATCTGAATATTCTGAAGGATATCAAAAATGACAATTGAATAAAATAAAGTTACAAATAATTTGAGAAAAACAGATATCATTATGTAATAGCAAGCTGGCCAAATACATTTTATTGTTTCAGTATCATTTTTAACATTTTGAATAAACTGCCTCAATTGATTGAGAGAAAACTATATTAACCGCCATAAAGTTTCCTGACTGTATAATCTATAGAAACATTACACTATATATTGTATATTTCGAATGATTTTTTTTGAATGAAGGTTCAAAATTTGAAGCAAACTAATGTTTCCTTTAAAAAGATTTTCGGTTTTGTAAAAATAAATAGCAATCATCTTTTTTATTTGCAATAATTATTTGTTGTATCATAATTCGAATAATTTTATTTGTAGCCAATATAAAAAAATACAATCAGTATTCAATTCATTTACACTCAGAATATCTTATATCGATAATAATTGATAATATCTGAATATAATTAAAAAAAAAAAAAAAAAAAAAAAAAAAGGTAGTGGGGCTTCCAGGCACTTCGTGCCTTCTAGCCCCGAAGATGTTTAGTATAAATGAAGTTCTTATATACGGGTCTTCCAGGAGCTTTTCACAAAATATATATGTTTTCATGTTTTGTCACTTTTCTGTCACTTTTCAGGAAAAAACATTTTTATTGTATATAAAATGAATTTTACAAAACCACCGTTACCGTTCTTTGGAAATAAGAGTAGATGTAAAGATATTATATTGAGAGAACTTAAGAAACTACCGAATGGTCTAACATTTGTAGATTTGTTCGGTGGAAGTTTCTATATATCCCATTTGTGCCATACAATATTCCCAGACTCAAAGATTATATGCAATGACTTCGACAACTATATGGACCGTCTCAAACATATTCCAGACACAAACAATATATTGAAAGAGTTAAAAGAAAAGATACCTATAGGTAAGATGGAACGTATACCATTAGATAAGAAAAATACTGTCAGAGAGGTTTTGAAAAAAGCAGAGTATATTGACTGGGATAGTATATCTTCTAGACTATTATATAGTGGTGCTATAAGAGTTCATGACATTGAAACACTTATGTCAAAAGTTTTATATCTTAACTATACAAATGTTTTCAAAGAGGACATAGAAAAATATATTGAGGGTATAGAGTTTGTGAGATGTCATTGGACAGATTTGTATGAAAAATATAAAGACAAGGAAAATGTTTTCTTTATAGTGGACCCGCCGTTCTATAACACATGGGATTTTCAATACCAAGTAGACTGGACTTTGAGAGACTCTTTAGAAACTTTAGACGTTTTACATAACCATCCATGCTTTTACTTTACATCCGATAAAAGTGGTTTGGAAACCGTTATGAGATGGTTAGAGGACATACATGACTATGAGTTTAGATATGACAAGATAGAATATGAGAGAGGTCCTATAAACTGGAGAAAGTGTCACAATAAAGAAATTTTATTAGTAAGTAAATGTGGTTTGAAATAGGACTACTTGTTTTAGGTTTTTTCCATTGTGTCATTTACTTATTTGACGTGGCAGAAAGGTACAGAGAATATGAAGATGAACCAATACCAGCAAATGTTCAGCATATGTACTCGTAAGAGATATTTTTATCTAATATTAAATGGACGCACAGAACTTAGCGAATGCACAGCAACCTGGACAACCAAACCCAGAGAATATTCCAAATGAAGTTAGAATACAAACTGCAATGGCAAACTATGGTCAAGTGCCAACAGATGTACAAATGCAAACTGCCATGTCAAATGACGCTGCGTTAGGTTTGCCACCATGGTATGCAAATATGAGATGGAAAGAGTTTTATACAAACCCTGAAGTGGGATATAAACAACTCTATGCAGATGACGCGAACACAGGAGTTGACCCAGAGTATGTTTTCTACCAGAGGAGAAATAGAATGTATGAGCTCCAGTTAAAGAATGCTATGGAACTCAACAGGAGACGTAAGAGACTAGGCGGACATTAGATTTTTACATATAGTAAAATGGGTTTCTTCAGTAAGATAGGAAACTTCTTTCGAAATGTTGGAAGAGGTATATGGAATGGAATAAAAACCGTAGGAAGAGGAATTTGGAACGGAGTCAAAAATATTGGTAAAAGAGTAGGTCAGTTCGTTGGTATTATACCTAAAGACCCTGAACCAGAAGAACAAGCTCCTGTTATACAACAGCCTGAACCTGCACCACAGTCTAGTTGGCAACCAAATCCAACACCTCAACCGTATTAAAAAATTATATTTTTACCGTTCGATAGTAGTTGTATATGAAACTAAGTTCTAAGTAAAACGCATGGTATAATGGAATTATTCTTTTCTTCCATCTGTAGTAAACCATACTTGAAAGTCTGAAATACTTCCACTTGGTGGTTCGTATAACTTTGTAGGTTTTTCGTAAAAGTCATTTGCCAAGCATAAGAAAGAGTTTTGGGCGCCAGAAAATGAAGCATGAACAATAATAGCAGCTGGGTCGAAAACATCTTTAAATAAATATGGTTCATCTCTTGCATATCGACTGTAAATATTTGCTAAAGGAAGTTCGACTTTCTGATTTAACATTCTTTGCAAATAATACCATGACATTGCAGTGAATTCTGTATATATTTGTTCGTCTTTCTTTGGATTGTCTTCGTAGATTTGAAATGACACTTGTGAATTTTGTTTGTCATATACAATTCTCACATAAAGTGTGCTCTCGGTATTTGCATATTCATCAGCATATTTTGCATAACATGAATTTATTTTATCTTCTATATTTTTTAACGCAGTCTGTAGAGAAGATGAAAGGTCAACTTGTATTAGCTCAATTTCTTCCCACATTTTTCGTTTCCCTTCAGATATATAATCTATATGAAACCTTACAATAAATGGAAAACTTTTATCTTCTACAGACACAAACTTCATTCTACGAAAGCCAATAGCTTTTGTGACAGATGGGTCTCTTAACCATCTTAATGGGTAGTCAAAACGATAGCCTTCATGCTTTACGGTCTCTGTCTCAAACTTTTGACCGACATTAGTAAAAAGTTCATCTAATGGTTTAGTTGTAGCAACTCTTGAATTTTCTTTTTCTATTGAAAGCATATTTTATCTAGAATAAAAATGTCGAAAGAAACAGCGTCTATGAGAGAAATACAACACAACCGACAACTCATTATGCAAGCTCTAAATAAGAACACAACAAACTTTTCAAACTATTCTAAGATATCTGAGTCATTGAAAGAAGGAAACTTAAAACTGACGATAAACCCATTGACAGACGAGTTTCTGTTTCAAGACAGTAAGAACCATACTGTTTGTATAAATCCAACAAAAGGAACTTTAAACGAGAAACCTATAAAAGAACTTCTTTTGAAAGCAGATGTTGACAACAAAGCTGACAAAGAGTATGTCATTGAAAAAGTTCAAGAAGAACATGACAGAGCAGATGCAACATATGCAACGAAAGAACATACTCATCCTGAACTAGCAGACAAAACATATGTTGACAATAAAATGTCAAGTGAAGTGACAAGAGCTGAAAACGAATATTCTAAAAAGACTCATACACATTCTATATCTGATATTACAAACTTACAAGAAACC